TCGCCGCCCTCCCTTCTTCCTTCCCCCTTTTTTCTTTTTGGGCCGTACCCTCCTGCCGTCATGCCGTTGTCGATTCGAAGGGAAGCCCCTTCCCTTTGATCCCTTCCCCAGGGGGGGGGGGTCCCGCCAGGGGTGGGGGAGGGTGGGGGGGTGGGTGGGGGGGCAGATTCGTTTTTCCTCGGGCGGCCTCGAAACCTCGAAAACACTCCAAATGAGGTCCGAATGCCCAAGATGGCCCCCGAGACGGCCCAAGAGTGCCCCGAGTCGCCCAAAGATCGGCCGAAGACGCCCAAGATAGCCCCAAGACCGTCCAAGAAGCCTCCAAGACGTCCCAGGCCCCCTCCAAGAGCACCCCCAAGAAGGGCCCAAGAGGCCACACTCATTACTTTTCCATCGGAAACTTACATTTCTAGCATATACGACGTCTCGGCCTTCACGGCGTCACAGACAGCTTCGTCTTCAGGGTCGGCGGCACCGGCCGTAAGGCCTTCGCAATCATTCTCTCTTAAGGTGCCCTTAGGTAGAAATGCCCCCATTAACAAGCATGTAGTAAGCATTCTCTCTTAAGGCCCCCTTGAAAAGGAGCCCTTCACAAGGAACCCTTCAATGAGGAATCCTTAAAGAGGATACATGTTCGAATGAGGTTCCCCTAAGTAAATACCTCTGTACTAGTGATTCATTCATCATGATTCCTTTTTTATCAAGGGAGTCCTTGGTACGAATGCCTTTAGTAAGGGATCGTTCGTGCCATTATTTGTATAGCGCCTTTGGAGAGTATGTGTAGAGTGTCCTCTCGATCGGAACCATAATAGCAATGTTCCCTTCCGGCTACTTCATATGTAGTAACGGCTCCGTAAAGAGGATGCGGGTTCCTGATTCAGGAATTGTTTGAATAAGGATCCCTCAGTACGGATACTTTTACTGAGGCCTTCTTAATGGGGATGTCTTTAGCAATGATCCCTTCAGTAAGGCGCCCCTCTGGAGTAAGACCTCCTCGTACTACTTGATTTACCCAGAGTTCATTACTATGGATGCCGTCTGTAAGGGATACAGGGTGAGGTGTGGATGCCTTTAGGAAGGACCCCATTCAGCAACGACCCTGTAGTGAGGCTTCATTGGTCGGGCTTCCTCTAGTAAAGGCCATTTGCTATGAATGCCCTGCGTAAGGTATCCGTATGCAAAATGCTTTTAGTCAGGCCTCCTTTGGGGATGATTCCTTGAGTAAGTGGTGTCCTCTCGGTAAGGACCTCTGTAATAATAGTCTCTTACGACTGAGTCCTTTGGCACTGGATCGTCAAACAAAGGATGCGGGTTCCTTGACATGGACGCCTTTTGTAAAGGGATCCTTACTACGGATGCTTTTACTGAGGCCTCCTTAGTGAGAGCGCCTTTTCGTCAGGCCCCCTCAGTAAGGACACCCTGCACGACGCTCGTTTGTGATACCTCCTTTGGTAACCGTGCTATGGGTGCCTTGGGTAATGGTCTTAGGTGGGGTAGGGATGCTCGTAATAGGGTCCTCTTAGTAAGGACCCCCTGGATTTAGGGCCCGATTGTGAAACTTCCTTGGGCAAAAGTTCCTTAGTATGGATGCCTTCTGTCATGGGGCCTGCGCAAGGTAATGATTAATTTCGTAAGGGCTCCTTCAACAACATACTTGGTTTGTGGGGTGGCGGAGGTGGGGGCAACAAGGAACATACCACAGCATTGTCAAACTGTGTGAGAACTTCTATCTCCCACCCACGGGCACCACCACATCCACTGGACTGGGGCTGCGGGAACGAGTGCGGTCCCCGCCGAAAGAAAAGGATTAGGTCGTGACATGGGCCCAATAAACAATAACACGTAATGCTTACTGAATATGTGGTCACTGAGAAATGCCAATCCTATACTCGTTTAGTAACCAACCGGTCGGAAAGATGTATGTTACCCAAGCATCCTTCTTAAGTCGGATCATTTTCGTGGGGGATCCGTGGTGAAGATGCCTGTAAGACGCGCGAGTTAGTAAGGGGGCCTCAACCAAAGAACCTTTAGTCACGACCGCCCAAGTGACGGATTCGTCGTGAGGGTGCTTTTCGTGAGGGTCCCTTCAGCAGGGGCCCCGGTTGAAAGGGTTCACTGCCCATGCTTCCTTTAGTCGTGGATCCTTGGTAAGGATGCCAATAGTAATTGGGTCCTTGGCAAGGTTGCTTTTAGTACGGCCTCCTGCCTGACGATGCTTTTACACACCATCCCTTCGGTACGCCCGCTTATTCTGACGACCCAGCAATTTTCCGGGGGAGCCAATGGAATTGCCAGTCGCCACCGTCGTCCTTGGGGAGGGGTGGCGCGGACGCATATATATATATACATATAGATATAGAGAGAGATGTACACCTGTATGTATGTATGTATGTATGTATGAATGTATGTATGTATGTATGTATGTATGCATATATATATATATATATATATATATATATATACATGTATAGCACCCCGCAGATGCGGAGAAAAGGTGGGGGGGCGGTGGGGACGTCGGCAGCCTGCGAGACTCCGGAGAAGCCGTCCGCAGGCGCCAAAGTTTCGTTTCACAAATTGTATAATGAACCTGCCGCAGGCGCAATTTTTTTTCGTGAAACCAATGTGGGTCGGTCGCGGGTGGGTCGTGGGGTGGGTCGCGGGTGGGTCGCGGATGTGTCGCGGGGTGGGTCGCGGGGTGGGTCGCGGATGTGTCGCGGGGTGGGTCGCGGGGTGGGTCGCGGGGTGGGTCGCCGGTGGGTCGCGGGGTGGGTCGCGGGTGGGTCGCGGGGTGGGTCGTGGGGTGGGTCGCGGTGGGTCGCGGGGTGGGTAGCGGGGTGGGTAGCGGGGTGGGTCACGGGTGGGTCGGGGGGGGACAACGACAACAAACAACAGCAACAACAACAACAACAACGCAACAAGCACAATCCTCACCACGGATCCGTACTTAAGCCACGCACCCAGGGACAATGAAGGACCATTCGGCCCCCTCACTCTGATGTATATATGTTTATATACGTATATTTACATATGTGTATATGTATAGGTTTATGCATACGTATATGCTTTATATTTACACATATATTTACGTATATATGTATATATATGTATATATGTATGGATAGGTATTCGTATACATGTGTATGTGTGTATATATACATACATTAGAACCATCGCGCGCGCTTCGCGCGCGCTCAAGTTCTGGCTCGGCTTATTCGGCTAACTCATGTAGTCTCATTTTGGTCGCTTCGTGCGTCCAGGGACTCCCTTGAAGGCCCTGCGCAGGCCTCGGAATCGTATAGAAGGGGAAATGCAGAAACGCAGAAATCATTAATTTCCTTTAGATATTCAACGACTTGGGGCCCTCAAAAGCTTCCTGGGTTATTTTTTGGGAGGCGAGGGGGGCCTGAATTGTGGACTGTTGTGCAAGAAGAGACCAGGGGGCCAAACTTGGAAAACAAACAGAACTGTCGGATTCCAATTGTTTTTCAATTTCTCGGCGCGGTTCGGCGCCCGCCCCACGCCTCGCGGCGTCGGGGCGGGGCGCGGCGGGCTGGAGGGGTGAGGGGGGGGGGGGGGGGGGGGGGCGAGGAGGTGGGGCGCGAGAAAGATGAGGGGGAAGGAAGAGGAGGGCGGCTCCAGATAGGCGCGGCCCCCCTTCAGGCGTGGAGCTCGGGGGGTGCTGCCTCGGCCGCTGGCTCGGCCGCTGGCCTGGGGGCTGCTGGCTTCGGCGCGGGGCCCGCCGCGGGCCCCGCGCTGTCTCCCGCGCCCCCCGGAGCTGCGAGGATCTTCAAGTGCTTGGCGCAGACCCGCGGGCCCCTCCGAGGAGGTCCCGCAGCGTGGGCGGCGTCGTTGCCGCGCGAAGTTCCCGCGAACCTTCTCGCGGCTCGCGCGCGCCCCTGTTGTGCCCCCCTGCTGCGCTCCAATGGCGCGCCGCTCGAGAGCGCTCTCGGCCCTTCTTGCGTTCCCCTGCTGCGCTCTTCCAACCCGCCCCTTCACCAGTGGGGGCGGGTTGGCCGTCCGCCTAAGCCCCCGGCTTGGGCGGGGGCGGGCCGCGAAGCATCGCAATTTTTCCCGGCCTCGGAAGCAGCGACGATTGATTTCATGGCGGCGTCGGCCGCGTTTTGACCTCCCCGGGGGGCCCAGCGCACCGCGCCCCCCCCTGGATCGATCCCCGCCCAGATGGCCCCGAGGCCCCTGAGGGCGCCCCAAGAAAGCCTCCAGGAGGCGCCCGAACGGCCCCAAGAGGCACCCCAAAAGGGCGCCCGAATGAGGCACCCAACGCAACCCCAGGAGGCCACCCAGGGGATTCCCAGACGCCCCAGGGGGCCTCGGCGAGAAGACCAACGGCACGGACGCCACCAAGGCTTTGGCCACTGGGGGTGAGAGGCTGGGGAAGGGGGCTCAATTATAGCCCCCCCCCCCCCCCTTCCCTGATCGATCTCCTCTGAGGTGCTCCCAAGAGGGCCCCGGGCCCTCGGGGGCGCCCCGAAACGACCCCGAAGCGCGCGGCGGGCCCCGAGAGGATCCGAAGAGGCCACCAAGATGCCCCAAAGAAGCTTCCAAGATGCCACCACGAGGCCACAAGGACGTCCGCAAGAAGGAACCCAAGATGCCCAAAGAGATCTCCCGAATATACCTATACGACCACCCTGCGGGTGATGAGGAGGTCGGGGGGGGGGGGGGGGGGGGGGGGGGGGGGGGCAGCACTGGGCAGCAGTGGTGATTGTTGTTCTGGCGATGCCTGTGGGGCGGCGGAGTCTAGTCAGTTGTGGCGATGCTTGTGGGGCGGGCATGTTGACCTGTGGGTTGATCTCTTCGCCGTTGTTCATGGCGGCGTCTTCGCGTTGGGCCTGTCCGTCGATGGCTTTGGCGGAGAGCACGGGCCAGCGCCGGCCGTGCTCGCGCCGCCCCTCCGGGCGCGGCCCCGCGGCGCAACCGACTTGCGCGCGCCAGAATTGGGGATTGTTGAATTGCGCGGCACTGGCAAGTCCTGGTGCGACCTTGCGAATGCACCGCTGCGTTCTGCACCTGTCCAGCTCCACCACCTCGCCAGAGCGGTGATTCACCAACCCCACCAGCGCTTTCGATGGTCCGTCGTCGTCCTCCAGCTGGTTCGGCGAAAACTTCTGCGCTGCCGTGTCCGGAAGCTCCTCGAGCAATGTCTGGTAATGCTCCCGCAGCGCGAGCATGCGGGGGCGGCCCTCCTGCCCCCGCGCGGTTGGAAGAGGCCGCGCAAGGTCCTTGACGCAGAGAGACCTCTTAGATGCCGCATTCAAAAGCTCGTTCGGGGTCATGGCCGCCGCGCCGGCACCGATCAGCTTGACGCGCGCCAGCTCGCGGCCGAAGAACATGTCCCGCGTGCCCAGGCCGCGGGCGCCCGCCCCTCGGCGCCCCTGATGTCCCCCCCAGGCCTCGCGGCGCATCCTGTCGAGGTTGTCCTGCGCCCCGGGATCGTCAGGCTGGGCCCACGGGCGAGAACCGGGCCCCCATCGGGCTCTCCGGCCAGCTCCTCGTGCAGAGCAGCCGCCATCTCGAAGTGGCTCACGTCCGCCGTGTCGTCTCCCCGATCGACTTCTTCGCCCTGCTGTGGCTGCTTCTTCTCCGCGCCCCCCGCGCCCTCGCCCCGCGGTCTCTCGGTTGTCGGGCCGGCAAAGCCTGGCCCCCGCCGCTGGGCCTCGCCCGCCGCCGCCCCCCCCCCCCCCCCTCCGCGAGCTAGTTTCTCTGCCGCCTCCAACTCCTGCAGGTTCTTGCCCAACTAGTCGACCTCCTCCTTGACCATCCTGACGAAGCCCGCTGGGTTGTCACGCAGGAGCCGCGCGTCTGGCATCTGGCCAAGCAAAACGAGAGCTTCGGCGCGCCGGCACGAGGCCTCGTTCTTCACGGATATGCATGGGTCGATCGCCGTGCCCCCAGCCACTGCGATGAGGTGGCACGCCTTGTCGCGAAGAGTCTCATAGGCGCCCTGGCCGCCTGCCGCCGAGGCGTCGACCTGCGCGGCGCCGGAGCGCGCCGCAGCTTCCGCCCGCGGCGGCGCTGGAGGCTTCGACGCCCCCAGCGGTGCCGCTGGCGACGGCGGCAGGGCTGGGGGGGCGATCGCCCGGCCCCCGGGCGTCGCGGGGGCGCTCTGGAAAGGAAACGGGAACGCCGCCCCGCTACTCGGCGCCTGCGTCGAAGAGCTGGCAAGGCCTGGCCCTTTTGCAAGGCCCGCCGCATTGCTCTTCTTGGCCGGCGGCCCGGTCGCGCAACCCTGACTCATTGAGGCCTCCAACCCCGCGGGGCTGGCAACGCCTGGCCCGAGCGGGGCCCCCGCCCAGGCCCTCGGGCAGCACGTCGACCTCCCAGCGGCCGTGTCTCGTCAGGGGGCCCTTGCAACATTCGCGGACGTGCTGTGGGGGGAGCTCCCGGCCCTTGACGGCGCGCAAGATCGCGCGTCGCGCCGCCGCGCGATGCCGCGCGGGGGGGTCCTTGAACATGGCCGTCACAGTGGAAACCCTCCATCTCCTGCGTGTGCTCGTTCCGCGTGAGCTCGAAATCCAGGGCGACGTCGGGCTCGCGGCGCAGGTGGGCGTTCAGGTTCTGCTCCAAGAAATGCGAGCCGCGATTGCCCTGCGGGGTCGCGCCGCTCTTGTCCGCGACCAGAGGATCACCCTCGCGGCCGCCCTCGCCCCAGACCCCCCCCCCCCCCGCTTGAACTCCTCGGCGGCGGCAAAGCCCGGCGCGAATTGAACGCCGCGCCCTGGCCCCGTTCGAGCGCGCACCGGCCCGGGCCCCGCGCCCTGCAGACTCGCGATCAAACCGCCCCGAGCCCCGAGTGGCCACAAAACTTTGGGAAAACGCAAAGACCTGCGCAATCCCTGGCGCTGCCGGCAAGTTCGCTTTGAACTCCCCCCATGACAGCGGGGGTGGAGCTCCACCGCGCCCGCTCTGGAGTGCTCAGAGCACCCGTAGCGCTGCGCGCCATTGCGCGCGAGCCCTGGCATTCCCCCTCTCCGCCTGGGGCTGGCAGAGCCTGGCCCTGTGACAGCGGCGGGGCGGCCGGGGCGTGTTCGCGCACGCGGGCGGCGCCGGCCGCGGGGGCGGCGCCGGCCGAAGGTTCGGGCGGGCTCCAAGGCGGAACCGCGATTGGCATGCTGGTTTTGCTCGGGCAACTGGCGGCGGTCCGACGGCGACGGCGGCGCGGCGTGCAGCGCGGCATGACGATGTGCCTTTCGATTTGCATTTGGATTTGCATATCGATGGGCATTTCGATGTTCCTTTCGATTTGCATGTCGACGCGCGTCGGGCAGCTCACCGCGGCGCCCGCGGCGCCTTGCGATTTGCATTTGGATGTGCAAATCGATTCTCGTTTTGATGCGCTTTTCGGTCTGCACGTCGGTTTGCACGCAGACTTGCGTTGGATAGCTCTCCGCAAGCGGCGATGCTTTGAAATGCGCAACCCGCGGCGGGGCGCAGGCGGGGCACCGCGGGGCACCGTCTGACGGGAGGGGCATCATTCGGTCCGGCCGCGGCCCAGCCACAGGAAGATTTCGGGGCGCCAGCGGGGCGCCAGCAGGACACCGCGCGCCAGTGGCCGCCGGAGGAAAATCATTCGGTCCAGCCGCGGCCCAACCACAAGAGGATTTCGGGGCACCAGCGGGGCGCCGGCGGGGCACCGCGGGCCACCGGCCGCCGGAGGGAAAAACATTCGGTCCGGCCGCGGCCCAGCCATAAGAGGATTTCTGGACACCAGCGGGACACCGGAGGGACACGGCGGGCCACCCGCCAAAGGGGGGGGGGGTTCGGACCCCCCCCCTCCCCCCCTTTGCGCCGGAAAGGGGGCCGCGGGGAGGGGGGGCCTCTCTCGCTTCCCCTGTCTGCGCCGGAGAAGGTGTGTAGGGGGTGCGGAGTTGGGAGTAGGGAGTGATGAGTAGTGAGTAGTGAGTTTGTGCGTAGTGAGTAGTGAGTACTGGGTAGTGAGTAGTGGGTGGTGAGTGGCGGGTAGGGAGTAGGGAGTAGGGAGAGGGGAGTAGTGAGTAGTGAATACTGAGTAGTGTGTACTGATAAGTGAGTAGTGAGTGGCGAGTAGTGAGTAGTGAGTAGTGAGTAGTGAGTAGCGAGTAGTGGGTACTGAGTAGGGAGTAATGAATAGTGGGTTGTGAGTAGTGGGTAGTGAGTGGTGGGTGGCGCGTAGTGCTTAGTGAGTAGTGAGTAGTGGGTAGTGCGTAGTGAATATCGGTTAGTGAGTAGTGAGTAGTGAGTACTGAGTTGTACGTAGTGCGTAGTGAGTAGTGATGAATAGAATGTAGTGGGTAGTGGCAGTGGGTAGTGAGTAGTGGGTAGCGAGTAGGGAGTAGCGAGTAGTGAGTAGTGAGGAGCGAGTAGGGCGTAGTGAGTAGTGAGTAGTGAGTAGAGAGTAGTCAGTAGTGAGTAGTGGGTAGTGATTAATGAGTAACAAATAGGGAGTAGCGAGTAGTGAGTAGTAAGTAGTGACTAGAGAGTAGTGAGCAGTGAGTAGTAAGAAGTGGGTAGCGAATAGTGGGTAGTGATTAGCGCTAAGTGCGTAGTGAGTAGTGGGTAGTGAGTAGTGACTAGTGAGTTGTGACTAGAGACTAGAGACTATGTAGTGACTAGTGAGTAGGGAGTAGTCAGTAGTGAGTAGTGGGGAGTGAGTAGTGAGTGTTCAGTAGCGAGTATGGCAGTAGCGAGTAGTGAGTACTGAGTACTGTGTATTCCGTACTGTTAAGGGAGTAGGGAGTAGGGAGTAGCGAGTAGTGGGTAGTGAGTAGTGACTGTGGGCAATGAGTAGTGAGTAGTAAGTATTGAATAGTGAACAGTGGGTAGTGGGTAATGAATAGTGATTCGTCGGTAGTGAGTAGGGAGTAGTGAGTAGTGCTTAGTGGGTAGTGAGGCGTGAGTAGTGAGTAGGGAGAATGAAGTAGTGAGTAGGGAGTAATGAGTAGCGAGTAGTGGGTGGTGGGTAGTGGGTCGTGAGTAGTGAGTAGGGGGTAATGAGAAGTGAGTAGCGAATAG